ACCCAGAAGGCCAGAAGCTTTCCAGTGGACAGGCAGAGTAGATTGGGGCAAAAGGCAAGTTAGCTGCCTTGAATCTTTATCCCTCTGTCTCTCCCCCTCCCCACAGCCAGCAATATCTCTGGTCCTTTCAGCAGAGTGCCGGGCACTGACAGGCTTAGAGGGGAGCCTGTTCTGTTCCAAGGTTTATGAGAGCAGAAGGAACCTCTGGTGTTCTGAAGCCACAGAGAACAAAGCCAGCCCTGAGTCTGACCCTGGGCCTGGGTTTTTTCCTTGGCGCCTCCCCAAGAACAGCTGTCAGGAAGATAGCCCTCTCCAGTGCCCTGGCGTTGGCCTGAGAGGATTCTTGCCCTGACTCCTGACACAGGGGCTTGGCTGAGGGAAGGGCATTCCTGCTGCGTGAGCTGCTCTCCTCTCTGGTAGCAGGAAAGTTTCCTGGCCTTGGAGGCCTGACCTCACCCTGGCCACTCCCTGGGTTCCAGAACTTTCCCTGCTGACAGTAGGAGGTTGGTGCTGGGGAGTGGGAGGAACTGGGCTGGGCTGAGTAGAATTTTCAACACTTAAGGCAAGACCTGGGTCACTAGTGTTTATTTGGACATTGAGTCAGCCACCTACCAGCTGAGAAAGTTAGGACATGTTACCTTCCCAGAGGCTTGGTGTTCTCACCTACAAAATGGGTTGCGAAAGGGCCTGCCTTATTACTGTAACTTTTTAGAAACTATTAAAACTGAGGGGGAAATTACCTGTTATTTTCTAGATATCGCTCCTTTCCTCTCCTATCCCCTTCCTTTCTGCTTTCCCAGTGAGGGCCTCCCCTACTCAGCCCTAAACATACTAGGTCTCTTCTCAACAGCCCAGGAAGCAGCCGCTAAGGGGCTGGGAGGTGGGCAAAGAGTTCAAGAGATATGTGCCTAGGGCACATCTCCAACCCAAAACCAACTGGAAAAATGCCACCAGTGGCTTTTTCCAAACTACTTTTCACAATCTGTGTCTCTTTTCCTTTCACCTGCCAGGACCTGTATTTCTATTCCTGTGTTTTGAAAGCCTGGGGGTAGAGGTGGAGCTGGGATAATTAATGATTGATTCCCTGGCACAGCCTCCAGGAGGCCTCAGGGTAAGCTGTTGGCCTTTTCCTGAGGTGTGGACACAGGGTAGCATTCCCACCCACCCTCCCTTGTTGGCTGTGTCCTTATTGGGCAAGTATGTTAGGGGGGAAAGTAGAGCAAAAAACCACCAGTCCCTTCAGGAACGGGTGAAATCTGGCAGGCTGGAAGCTCTGCCCTGGTACTAGTCCACCCCTTCTGTCATTGGTTCTGCTCCCCTCTTTCTGGGTGAAGCACAATTAATTTCTCCCCTCATAGACACCCCTGCCCCCACAGCAACCCCCACACCTACCCTATAGCCATAGCATGTGCTCCCTGGCCTTTTTCTGTCCAACAGCTCACCTGTCCGTCATCCAAGGCTCAGATGGCTGTTTGAAAAACTCACAGGGCTTTTGGGAAAGGATTAAAGGAACCGACTTCCACAGCAAAATTTTAGAGGAGTTTTAACTCTGCCCTCTTGGAAGTATTTCTCCTGCCTTTGTTGTCTAATAATAATTAACTTTTGTACTGAGCTGTAGTTTTCAAAGGGCTTTCACATTCATAATTCCATTCATCCTCTCAACAAAGCAAGGAGGTAGGTCTTACCCTCCCCCTCCCCACCTGCACCCACCTCCCACAGAAGAGGAAACTGAGGCTCAGAGAAATGAAATGTCCCCTTTTCACATCACCAGCCTGAAACACTCACCTTCTAACTTAAAGTAGAGAGCTGCTGTTTTCTTCCCAAAGGGCACATTTTAGTCCTAGGAATTGTTTACCATGTAGGGGAGTTGGCATGGCAAGTAAGCAGAGAGGATTTGGGAATGGTGGGGGGCGGGGAGGGGCAGGGATTTTCCCCCAAGGCTGGCTTCTGGGTAATTTTCACAGAAAACCTTCTGAGGCTTCATGTCAAAGTGGAGGAAGTGATCCCAGATTTCCTCTCCTGGGGTCCCAGGGGTGAGAGGGAGAGGTCCTTGGACCATGCTGGAGTTTAGGGGGTCAATTAGCCTTAACTTAAGGTGATAGTATCCCACCTACACAGTGAAACACACTCCCCAGTGGTCAGTTTACAAAAGACCACAAACCTTCCTTTCTGACTATCAGCAAAGATGATGAACTCACCCTGGTTTGCCCAGGACAGTTTAGTTTTAGCTCTGAAAATCCCATGTCTAACGAATGCTCTAGGTCTCATCCCTGACACACTCAGCTCAGCCCACTGGATTTCAGCTAAGTCCTGGAAAGACAGGCCATCTTTTGAAGGCTCAGCAGATCAACTTATAATTAAAACATCACAGAATACTCACAAGAGCTGGCAACTACCTGAAATGTATATTAAATTCCTTCAATGTTAAACCTGAAAAAATACTCATTTCCACAAAGAAACACTCCAATCTATGGCCAGATTGCTCACATTTTTAAGGACAAACCAGAGTTATGTCCCTAGTCTATTTTCATTATGACATCTAATTAAGTTTTCTAAGAGAAATGCTGAGTTTTTTTTTTTTTTTTTTTTTTTTTAATGTAATGGGTTTAAGCCCCAGGTTACTAGTTGACCATCTCAGCATTACATCTGAGAAGAATTGGCAAAGGAACTGTCATTTAGGGAAGTGTATACTAAATTTCTCTTTGATCTGAGTCTTTTTGCTGTGATGCTAAATTTATTTTGAAATGGTAAGTAACATCCAAGGGAGACTTGAGATTTTCATGCTTAACAGAAGGATATATTTTTTCTTAGTTTAGTGTAAGAAAAGGTTGTGATAAAAGACATTATTTCAACCTCTTCATTTTGCAGAGGGGAAGACTGAATAGAAAGAGAATGAGTTGGGGTATCGGTTAGTAACTAATTAGAAAGTGGCAAGGAACCTAGGCCTGATTTCTGGTGTGACTAGATAGCAGGGCCAGACCTGAAGGCCTATGTTTATCTCTGAATGGGGTTAACTGCCTTCTCACTGTGCGTTGCCTCTAGAACTTCTGCTCCTAGTCACTGGATTATGTCTTGTATAGTCTGGGGAAGAGGTGAAATCAAGATATGAGAGTGTGGTTTTGCACATTCAGTTTTCATATTAAGATGAATTTCTTGAATGACCTCACAAATAGAATGGGCATGTTTTGACAACTTGCTGGGGTTTTTTTGTTTTGTTTTTCATTGTTTTTTGTTTTGTTTTGTTTTGCCCTATGAGAACTTTTGTCAAAAAAGAAGAGGGAGAGGTTTTTTTTTGGTTTTTTTTTTTTTTCTGAGCTGAGCGGGAGAAATGGGCAAGAATGGGTGTAGTGAGTTTCCATGGTTACTGCTACTTATCAGCACCTCAGCTTGGGTAAACCCTCTAAGGTGTTCAGAACTGCTTGGACCACGGTTCACCAGGCTAACTCAGGGCAGAGTGGGGTGGACAGAGTCTCTGCCATGCCCTTCTCACTCCAGGGCTGCCCAACAGCAGCAGGGCTTGAACTGCTCAGGATTGGTGGGGGATATTCCAGGTTGAATTTCTTCCACCACCTGTTCTTCTTCTTCCAGGGGGTTTGACAAGAGAAGTGAAATATCTGGATATTTGGAAACCACAGAGCAATCTTAAATAAAAATTTTGGAGAAACTTTGAAAGCCATAAAGCACCTATTGTTTTAGCTTCGAGACATTTATAAATGTGGAGGATCCACTTAGGGATACGCATGTTCTCTTTCTTTTCACAAAATGATTAATTTCTGCTATTGAGAAATGAGAAAGTCTGGATGGGAGGAGGAAGTGAATTTACATGAAAGATTAAACTTTTTTAATTAAGAAAAATTGTGTTTTCACACACAGATGTGCACACATGTGTGCTCACACACCCTCCTGCATAGCCCGTTTCCTCTGCCCCTCTGCCTGCCTCTCACCCAAGCACCGTGCTTGCTCAGGAACAACCCCTACAGCTGGCACAGCCCCTCAGGGTCAGGGGCATGGCTGTCCTCTCAGGCATAATCCTGAATCTAGACAGATTGGGGGAGCATCCAGGCTATGGCCGAAGGACCTGCAGGTGCTTCAGGACATTGGTTCCATTTCCTCTTCGCCAACAGAAAAGCTGCCCAGGGAGGAAGGACAGCTTTTACTACCACTAAGGTCTTCTCAGTCCCCTTCCTATCCATAACCACGGCTCAACCCTGTCTCTTTCTAAGGCCCTCCCTCACTGAGGTGAAATCGAGGCCCTCGTTGCCAGTCCTCTGAACTCATCTCCCAAGTTCAGAACCTTCAAGGAGCAGGAAAGAAGTCTGATGGCCGTGTGTGTGTGTGTGTGTGTGTGTGTGTGTGTGTGTGTGTGTGTGTGTGTAAATGGGAGGAGAGAGGGGTCCTCTTGGTTATGTGATCATTTACATTAACTTACAGGTACGAGGGTGTGGATCCTGTCTGGGCTGTAAGGAGAAAATGGGTTAAACAGACTGTTCAGACCAGTGCTGAGAGATTAGGACCACCTTGCCTCTAGTCCTGGGAGCAGGCTTCTACCATCCTGCATGAGGAATATAAAAACAAGTTCTCATCTATGAGAGAAAAAGCGGCTACCCTAACCCCAGAGCAGTGCAAAGGTTAGAGAAGGAAGAAGGGTGTCACAGAGCCACCCTATCTCTCACTTCTGGAGGTCAGTGATCCCAGGAGAACCCAGACACCCTCACCCTCAGGCCTTGAGGCCTCTATCCCCCATTCCTCCAATATTTCCAGGCCTGCTGAGTTAGGGCTCAGCTGCCTTCCTCGCTGCTCTCCGCTGGAAACAGAAGCTCTAGCGAATGTTTCTAACTCCTGAGTCCACTCAGCCATGTCCCCCTTGCAAAATCCTCCCCTTCCCGCACCCCCCTGCACCCAGCCAGCCAATCCGCGGCCTGCGAGCCTCTCCAGACCCATCTCTCAGGGCCCTGGCGGGATAAAACCAGTCGGCGATGCCGGGTGGATGGGAACAAACTTCAGAACCAGGAGAGACACTGTGCCCAGGGCACCCTCTCAGGCGGACCCAGGCAGTGAGGGCCAACCGGCCAGGTATGCTGCCCAGGGGTTGACTGAAAGCTGACATGGGGAGTGGGGTGATTCCGAAAAGGCAGAAGGTCCCAGGCAGCCTGGCAGCTTTTTCCCTCCCAAGTGAAACTGGATAGGGCTGAAAGAGGGTCTAGGGCTGGAGTTTGGGGCTTCCTCAGTGGCCCCCCATTCCCGTATCCCCCAGACAGTCATATTTTAGTTAGTCCAGGCTGAGGTTAGGTACATTTCTCCTGAAAATCTTCCTACTCTTGCCAGGCTATGAGAACCCATAGGCTAGGGCCCGGGGAAGAGGTCTAAGGCAGCAGACTGGAATCTCATGCCCCTTCCCCTGGGTCCGTGCAGGGCAGTGGCTTGGCGAAGGGCGCGGCGGGGACCTGCGTGAGGAAGCCCTGAGTCCTCAGCGGGCTGCGTGCGACTCCCTGGCGATGCCTCACAACTCCATCAGATCCGGTAAGGACGCGGCGTGGCCAGGACCCCCGAGCCCCGCGTCGCCGTGCGTCCGTGCGCGCGCTCGGGCCGGTGGGGCTGGGGAGCCTCCGCTCCGGGCTCGCGGGACCCACCTGCGTGGGGAAGAAGCTGGGGGCGCCTCGGGCCTGGCACTCGGCTGCGGCCGGCCGCCTAGCTGCTCTCAGGCACTGAGGTCCCACGGTCCGGAGGAGCCGCCCTCCCCAGACCTCGATTTCTACGGACTACACAGGGCGGTGAGGAGCTTTCCGTGGGGGTCAGAAGGGTGTCCCTCGCTCTCCACCCGCGTCCTGCATGGCCTAGCGGAGTGGGCACCCTGCGCGCTCGCAGGCCGTAGGCCGCTCGGGTGCTGGACTTGCGGTTCCCCGGCCGCCACCTCTTAACCCTGGTTCCTGGGGGCGCGCAGTCAGTCCTAGCCAGCGGGCTGCGTGCTGAGCCCCGAGCACTCTCAAGTCAAAGGGAAGAGAGCCGGTGGCCTGGGGCCTGGGAGCCAGGGGTGCACTCGGGAGCTCTCGGACCCTCCTCGCTGAGCACGGGACAGATGGGAGCTTCGCGCGGGACGCCTGGCCAGGGAGGAAGGTGCTGCCCCCGAGGCCAAATCCCTCTCCCCACCCGGGCCCGGGCCCCAGGGCCTTCAAAGCGCTTGGGGTCTTTCGTGGCGGCACCGGATTTCCTCAAGCTAAGGAGGTCTGTGCGGGGAAGGAGCCGCCGGGTCGGGGCCGAGCGGCGTGAATGGCACGGCCGCCCTGGCGCGCAGCAAGTGTGGACAGCGGGTTAGGCGCGGCCCGACCCGCAGTGATGGATGGAGGCGGGCCGGCTGCGGGGAAGGCGATTTATGGGGCTAGGGCGCAGCACTATCGATTGGGCCTGCGAAGTGAGAGGAAATCAATATTTCAGATGAATTCTCCGCGAATATGAAGTCCCGCTCGGCAAACGGGACATTTGTTATAATAAAGAGGGTCGGATGGCGCGCGGCGCGAGGCTGAGATCTCTATTTAGCTGCGAGTGCTCGAGTCTGAGCTTAGCTGCGTCTCTGGTCCTGTGGCGATCGCTCCGGAGGGTGCGGGAACCCCCTGGGGCGCCGGAAGGTTTCTCATTCCGGTTTGCTCTGGAGCTGGATATCCAGTCCCCAATAAGCTCCCTCCCCACCCCGTTCCCCAGCTCCCCCGTGGGAGTGGGACCACAGCCGTCCCGCTGCCCTTGGCTGGCGCTGCAAGGGGCTCGGAGTAGAGACTTGGCGGCCCTTCCAGGGAACCGCGGGGTTGGCGAGCCTGGGGACAGAGAGGAGCTGCCTGACACCCCTTTCGTAGCAGCTCCCGGGTGCCACCCTTGCTCCTTGGTCACATTCTGAGGCTAGAGCCAGATTTTAGCGCCTTAGTCGTTAGCCAGATCGGAGTTCAACATTAGACTTCGCCCGGCCTCCAAATCAGGACCGGCTCGCAGGCTGAGAGCGCACAACCTGGTGCCCGATCCCACACCGCGCTGGCTCCGGCCGCTTCTGCTCTGTTCTGGGTTTGGATGTCTCCCCAACTCTCGACCTCCCCCTGACCTTTCTGTTGGTGGTATGAGTGGGTGCTCTTGTACCTCGAATTTACCGTGGTGGACTAGACACTTTCCCTCTGTTGCTGCTCCAGAGATAATATGATGGCACGGTCCCTGGGTTGGTTTGATTCTGTTTTGGCTACGAATTTTCAATCTAGAAGCACTCATTAGGATTAATGGGAATAAAAGAGGAAAAGATGCAATTTACTATTTACTTTATTTTTAATCAAGAACAAGCTGCTTACCCATTACCTTAGGCGCAAATCGCCCTTGGGTTTGGGGAGGGAGTCCTTTACCACCACCCAGCCCGATCAGGGGCAGAGGTATTTTATTTTATTTTATTTTTTCTGTTTAGGGAAAGCAAAGGATCTTCTTCTACGCCTCCCCTAAAATAAAGAAATAATGCTAGAAGGAAGGGAGAATGAGACTTGCTCTTTTAGTTTAATGTTGAAAACAGAAAAAAAAAATTGCCCAAAACACAGCTCAGAAGGCTAAAGACTGTCCCGGTTTCTTTTTCCAATCTTCTGTCTGCAAAACCTGAGCAAGAGACCTTCTATCTTTCTGATCCGTTTACCTGACATTGCTATGTATGTTTAGAGTTGAATTCATAAACTGATCCTGTTTTTTATAAGCACTTTCCTCTCTTAGGGTTTGGCAGCTTCCCTTTTCTCCCCAGACACATCCACTCCTGGGTTCTGCTTTGCCTGGGGAGTTTCCCCCTTTAAGTTTTCTCTGGAGCAGAACCCCGGGGCTCAGCCTGCCACTGGTTTTTTGTGAGAGCAAGGCTAGCACACCATTTCCAATAATCAGAGATGCTAGACAAAAGTTTAGTGTGCAGCCTCTGAGTCTCACCCTTAGCTCATTCTGGGCTAATCTTGCTTTGCAGAGAGATCTTAATATTTTTGTCTTACAACTTTATTATTAGGAAGGGACCTTGAGAGCAAATATTGAATTATTCAGATATGCACTGGTCAGCCACAGACTGAACTCTCTGTGAAAACCACCAGGAATTTTGTAGTATCAGGGAACAAAGATTGTCTAAAGCAAAAACATTGTTTTTTAACTATTCAAAGATGAGAAAGGAACACGGAGTAAATATAAAAATGCAAAGGCTACTGTATCAATGAGGAAGAGAGTTTAGTAAAAGCAAGCAGGTTGTCATTAAAACTCCTGTACAATAACTTCCTGCTCGCTCTTGAAAATAGGTTATTCCAAGTGGTAGAATGAGATCACAGATCACAGAGGAAGGAACTTATGTCTTACTTTCCAGATCTGTCTGAGATGTAAAACCCTCATCCCTTCTCTCGGTCTTAGAAAGAGCAAAGGGGGGCAGATGCATTTGGGAGGATCTATTTTGGCCCCTGGTTTCTTGCCTAGGTTGAAAACAAGGTCTTCTGGGAATGGGAAACAGTCTTGAAGAACATAAAGAGGTATTGGGGTCCCTCAATTCATCTTTGTTTCAGGATGGTTCATCCTCCCACCCTCCTCAATGCAAGTTAATTAGGAGATAATTTAGCTACCTTGTGAATTAGTTTTAAGATAAGTATCTTTTCAAGCTTTGTCACTTTAATTGCCCCACTGATTGATAAGAAGTAATTATTTCTAATTGACACTTTTTTGATGTCTATTGGAAGCATTTATTTGGGACTTTTTGGGGTGGAAGGAAAGTTAATTAATTTTATCAGACTATACCCCAAAGGACTCTGCCTAATTTTTCTGAGAAGGACAAAGGAATTGAGGGAAAATCACACGAAAATCAATCTCATGGAGTTTTACTTATTAAGAGAGATTTTCGTTCAAAGAAAAATGTCTACTAATGCAAAAATATGTCAGAATTTTCTTCTTAAGGGGGCAAATCTCTAATTTTAATGAACTACATGTTTTATGGTCATATATTTTCCCAAGGATATACTCACAATCCTTTTATATGCGGAGTTCAATTGGAGTAGGTTGCTCTACTTCGTAATTAATTGTTTGTAAAGAGTGAAATCAATAGAATTCAGTATGTTCAGAAAAAAATGGCACCTTTTTGTAAGAGCTAATTGTAAGAAAGATTTACAAATCGTCATTTTGTTCTATAATTATTGATAGAGTTGGGTATAAAGGTGAAACTTTACTTACAGTGACATGCCTTTTCATACCTAAACCTAGGAGTCAACAGTTTAATCATTCACATCCTCCAGAATAATTTACTGTGAAAGAGAAAGAGGGAAAGAATAGAGAGGGGAAAAGGAAGACACTGAAAGCAGGCAATGGGGGAGGGGTGGGGTGGGGGAAGAAGGTGGTTAGAGAGAATAAAAATGAAAGAACTTTTCTCAGAACGAAGGTAACCAGGTGCGGGGAATGTTTGCCTTTCGAGTATAAGAAAATCATAATTCTACTTCAAAACACATCCTTTCAGACACAATCCTTACCACAGCTACTAAACAGCCCCTAAACGCTACTGGAAAACACGTATTTTTCTGTTCATAAAAAGAGGCTGGATCTTCGGAACCAGCTGGTTTGGATTGTGAGTAAGTGTTAAAGTCTTGATCTGGTGTCCATGAAAAGGAAGGAAGGACTATGCTTTGTGTGTATGTGGAGGGGGAATGTCCCTAAAGAGATTTGATGTTTATTTTTATTACTAAAACCCCTGTGATCTGTACCCATGGTTGTGTACTCACGACGTGTTCATAGATAGACTTGTGACTCGCTGACATTGGAAAACATTCCCACATTAACCTAAAGCGGGGATACACTGGCTCACATGCCTGCACGCCTGAAATGAGAGTAACCCAATCAAAGAAGACGCGCTCCTGTCAGATTAATTTCAGCCAATGCTTTTTTCAATCATTTATGTATAAAATCGTGTCTGCTTTTAATGATGTTTCTTCCAGATTACGTGGAGCTGCAAGAATGAGGAAACATTTTAAATGAAAAAGGAATTTAAGACATACAAACAGCAGATAATATCGCATACCAACCTCACTATTAGTAAAACTGAAAAAAAAATATATAAATAATGCAAAAAAAATCAGCAAGGGAGAGTTTAGTAATGGAAAATTCCCCTGCAATTAAATGAAACAGTAATTTAGTGGAGATATGCCTGAATGAATTAGCATTTATTAATTGGTTCACATAAAAACAATTTGTGTGTGTGTCTCTTTCTGTGTATGTGTGTGTGTGTGTGTTTGGAAAACAGTATTTAAAAGATATATTTTCCTAGGAAAAGTTTCTCAAATGATCAAATCAAATGATATAGTTATTAATTCTGTCCTGTTAAAAATTCCAATTCTCTCACTGGTGAATTTCACCTACACGCAAAGAGGGTGGGGGTAAGGGAGAGGCAAAAGAATGATGTGGTTCCCCGTTTTCTTGGGACATTTCTAAGCTTGAAACCAATTGGAGACAAGCAGGCAGAGTCCGCTGTGCATAGGAACGTTCAAACGTGATCCAGAGTGGAC